AGGCAGTTACACAGTGCTTACAACTGTCTCTGGAAGTGAGAGCACCAGATAATAAAATAAGTCACACGCAGTTGTCATCCGTACGCAAGGAAGTNGCAGCGCACCCTTCATGCGACTCGCCGAATATCTCACGGCGCTTCGCGCTTGGTGATGTGAGAGCCTGGTCCGGTGAGAACCCGGCGTGCTCCGTCCCGGCTTTGCAGGGATGCGAGGTCAAATGGTCTAACGACTACGGCATGCACAACTACGAGTACACCCCCTACAATAGACAAGTAGCCTTCGTGAGGACATTTAACTTGGCTTCAGTAGGGGTTACGGTTTAGGGTTAGGGATACGAAAACCCCCGCTCAATTTTACATACAGCGCTTAGCATCGTCGCGAAAGCGGTCCGGATCTTGGGGGTTGTTGACGCCGTTTGGATATTGAGCTTGATTTCAGTAGGGTTACGGGTTTGGCGTTGGGTTTGGGTCTGGGGTTAGGGTTACGGTAACGTAACCCCCCTCTCGCTCTCTTACATATGACGCCTAACATGCTCGCCGAGGTGGTCCCAACAGACATATCGGGTCGGGGGGATCCCTTATTGAGATGAGACACACGGGCGATGGTGATCGACATATTTCTCGGACGCTGCGCATGTGTGAGGCAGGATGAAGACGTTGCTTTATAGCGGGGAGAGCCTATAACTACTTCGCGAAACGCATGCACTCTTCCCGTCCTCACTAGTGTGACACCACGGCGAAACAGGTGTTGAAGACGAAACGCCGAAGGCAGCGAGCAACCAAATGAGGTCAACAGGCATATCTCAGGAAACATGCCCCGTGTAAGACTCTACAATAGCCCTCCAGCGGTGGACAGCAAGAGCCGGGAGGCGAGGAACAACAACCCCTCCCCATTGCCGGGGAAAAGGGATTGTGGTCAGTGGCTACAGCGAGTACGTCGAGCATAATGTGCCACTCGTCATCCTTCTATCGAGTTTTCACCGCGACATCCTCGCGCTCGCGGTGCCGAGGACAAAACAGCACGGCAGCAGTGGTGAAACACCACGGAAGGTGGAGGGGCCACAAAATCCTCTCTGCTGCTCGCGCGCAAGAGACTAAAACACACACGGGAAGAGCTAGATAGCTAGGTCCTTGGAGGGGGCGGAGGAGCGGTGAACTCTGCCTCTCACCTCGAAATCTGCCGCAAACGCAGTCCAGTTGGCGATGGGAGTGGTTCCCCACAGTTGGACCTTCCAGGAAAGCATGACAGGGGGCAACAGGCGGAGGCAAGTGAAGCTTGCTGGAAGTAAAATATATTGATGAAGCCGTGCGGTAGACTTTGTGGAAGATGCGCGGTTGTGCAATCGATAACGTCGCTTCAGCACGGCAGGAAGAAGACCCTATCTGCCTCAAGGGCTCGATGAGGAAGAAGACCCTATTATATCTGTCTGAAAGGCTCGATGAGAAAGATCCACGTTACAATATGTTCAGCCATGAGCCGCAGCAGCAGTGACAGCAGCAGCAGCTTCGACAGTGTCAAAACGGGAGGGGGGGGGGGGACGAGACGCCAAATGCTATGCGTAGCGGTCCCCGTTCAGATGCCGCCGACACTGGGACGCTGCTACGAAGTACCAAGGCGAGACCAGTACATTACCGTAAGCGGTGGAACATGGAGCTGTGTCAGACTTACAAATTTCATTGAAAAACGTTGCGCCGTCACACTGATAACCACGACACCAGACAGACAGACAGACAGACACGCATACAAAACTGCGACGACCATGCCCACGCAGTAACACGCAACACCGAAAACCACGCACACGTGACCGACAGACACAGCAACAGCTCGACTCACCTTTCCGCTCGTCAGGGCGGCAGCCAAGAACGGCCGCACCGGGTGCCGCGTCAGGCTTAGCAACCCCAGGTTGGGTCCCTCCAACCGTGTCACCAGGTGCCCCTCGATGGTCCAGAGGTAGATGCTGCACGTGCCCTCCGCCCGACTCCCTCCCGCGATGTACTGCTCGTACACATTGAGATTCCCCGGAATATGGCAGTCTGAATAACGCGGTCGCCCTATGTAAGACGTGTGGGATTGGCTGGTACGCACGGAATATTATCAAGTGGCTCTTCTGTTGAACACGTTTCACCAACACCAACAACAACGACGACAACAGCAACAACAACAACAACAACAACAACAACAACAATAACAGCAGCAGCAGTAGCAACGACAACAACGACCACGTCAACAGCCAATCTCACCTCCGAATCCCCCGTGAAACGGCAGCACTGCCACCTCGTTCTGTTCACCACGTCCTGGAAATCCCGCACAGACCTTGCAAGCAGCGCAACATCACCAGCAGCAGCAGCAGCAGCAGCAGCAGCAGCAGCAGCAGCAGCAGCAGGGGGCGCAGGGTTGGCGAGGCAGGGGCCGTTACCGCAAACTCGCTGTTCATTCGCAATTTTGGCAAAGGGTCCTGCTCCCACGGCCACCACAACACCAACAATCGAAAAAAAAAAAGTGGCGCTGCCTTGGGCGAAGTGCGCGCCGCTTTTGAGGCTCTCCTCCCATACGTCCGTGAGCACGTATATTGTGGAGCGGGGTCATGACGGCTAACTGCCCCCAGCCTCTACCTCGAAAGGGATGGAAGTCTCTGGCGCGGTGATGACTTCCTTTGGGGGGGGTTACACAATTTCAGGAAACATTTTGCCATCTATTTGGCTCGTCGGAATGGTTCGTGTGCTGCTTGGGGCCGAAAGTTGGCAACGGTATCCAAAACGGCATGCGTCGCTTCACACCTCCCTGTGGTGCTCTCCCGCTCCAGCATCCGTATCACCCTCTCGCCGCCGTTGACCAACATCCACTTACCGTCCCGGCTCAAGTCTATCTGCTTCACCTGTTCTCTCCGAAGACCATAACAGCAGATTCGGGGAGGGGGGGTCGGAATAGGTGTCAAAGGGCAGCCATGGGAGGGGGCGCTTGAGCTTGAGCGTCATGTGACGAAAGCGCGCGGGGTGTATGTGTGTGTGTGTGTTTCCGTCCTATTTATTATGGCGACAGTCCCCCCATTTTTCGTGGTGAGACGTGTACTACACTCTTTAGCGTATTTTTTCGTACACCTACAACCATCCAGGGTCACACAGGAGGGCGTAAACATCAGGGCTGGGTGTACTTATGTAAACGCATGCTGTAGTCGTTCGGTTATTGACCTCGCATCCCTACAATGCCGGAACGGAACGATATGTCGGGTGTTCGCCGGTCCAGGGAATCTACATTTGGATGAACCAGAAGATGGTCACCATCCTTTCGCTTTCTGTGCCAAGCCAGATACGCCGTGGGCTGATCGGGCATCCCGGCTTACCAAAAATGATTTACATTCGGCGGCACGATACACATCTGCCTGCGTGAGCAAAGTTGTTTCCTGTGGGCATATGCTCGCCGGGAGGGGTAACGCAACTGTTGTAACTTAGCGGGGACCCTCGTCCACGGGCCCGAGGCGTTCACGGCATCTCTCATGAAACCGCCGTTTCGCCGCTCAAACTTCGGCTCGTTTTCTGCTTCCTTTTTCACCCGTACAGAACACGGCAAAGATTCGCTCTCCGTTTAGCCGGTCCAGGCGTTCGGGAGGGGAGGCCCTCAGTACATTCTATTATCCAGGGCAAACACAATAACAAACAAGAGGAGTAAAGACACAAAGAAGGGGTCGTCACCTTCGAACAGCCCGCAACTGCCATGGAGGCAGAAACATCCCCGTCCTTAGTGCCAACCTGGAAGGAAGGAACCAACGGTCAACGTAACGAGGCGTGGACAACACGGGGGTGACCATACAACCAATTCGCCGCAACCAAGACTTCACACGATTCTCTTGGGATTCGAAGAGTACCAAAAGCTTAACTCTTCGTTGCAAGCGGTCGATTGGTTTCTCTCTCGGAAAATCAAGGGAAGGATACCTTCTTCCTGGGCGTCCAATCCGTGCCATTGTTAGTTTCAAGCATATACCGCAAAATCAATGTTGGCCTTATCACGACAAGACCTTCTTACTGGCCACCCCGTTCTACGCTTCTCCTCAGTTTTACCTCAGCGGTGAGCCCACCCGTTGCATGCGGTAAGCACGTCCAAACCGGTGCACGACAACAACACACTACACCTACTCGTGCACGCATGCATATACGTAGATAGGTATGCCGCCGCCGGACGTCCGTTGCTTTCTAGAGCCACGCTTACCGAGAGAACCTGACCCTGGCACGTGCCCAGGCACACCCGCGAGGCTCTCCGGTCGAGGGCGAGGCACAGCACCGCCGGAAGGGCCGGTCCACGGTTGGCGGCGACGGCGGCAGCGGCAGCGGCAGCCTGTCCACAACCGGCAACAACATACGGGAGTCCATTACACACCTCCCCAAAAGCGTAACTTGATTCTCCCTGAAAGCGCAACTTGTGAGCAAGGACGAACACTCGCACCACACACACCAGAACGTCCTGGAATGACCACCACTCAACAAAAAAAAACCACCTGGCCGGCGGGCCTGGGTTTCTTGGCCGGGCTGGGGCTTCCAGCGGAAGAGGCCGCAGAGGGCGGCGAGATAATCCTCTCTTCGGCTGGACTGACAGCGTCAACCGTGTTCTGCCGCGAGAAAACGACGCACAAGAATGCAATACGAAGGTGCGGTTCCGTTCGGTGATAAAATTTACACGGGTTTAGCTGCGCGGAATGATGTTCAATTCATTCATTCGCCATACAACGGCGCGGTTTCGTTCCCTCGCGATTGAGTTTCCACGGGTTAGGCACGCGGAATGTGGTTCGTTCATTCATTCGTCATATTGTGGAGCGGTGGCGGTTCCATGCCGTGATACAATTCCCACGGGATTGTCACGCGGAATGGGGGCACTTGAGGTCCGCAGGGCGGGCGGGCGGGCGGCCGGGCCGGCGGACGGGCGGAGAAGCAAGGCGTACTAGTCGCGGGTCAACGAACAAGGGGCGAGGCCACCACTGCCGTGTAGGTGACGTGACACAAGATACCACACACCCCTGGACCGATTTTTCAGGGCAGATTACTACACGACCAAAACAACGTACAAGAGAAACGAAGTGTTTTCGGAAATGTACGTCGCTTTCGGAAAGCTTTCGACGAGACGGTTCGACGCCGCGATTTTCGCCACTGCACACCCTTTCTGCTGCGGAGTAATCGAGCTTTGAAAATCGGTCCAGGGGGGGGGG